AACTTTTTGGAAAGTGCATGTCCCATTACATCTGGCGTAAAACTAACACCACAATTCATGAAAAGAACATCATACCAACAATCAAACAAGGTGGTAGGGTGATGGTCTGGGGGCAGCTTCAGAACCTGGAGGACTTGCCATAATTGATGGAACCATGAATTCTGTACTGTACCAGAAAATCTCACAGGAGTATGTCTGGCCAACTGGTTGAGACCTAAAGGGTCATGCAGCATGGGGTTTAAAGGGAAATTACCATCTCGCATAGGGCCAGGCAGGTTTAGAAAGTTTTTGGGGTTATGTGTGTAAGATTAAAATTTGTTTGATGGTCTGAATCATGTGAGTGTGACAAATATATAATAAAAAAAAAAAAAAAAACAAATCTGGAAGGGGGCAAATACTTTTTCACAGCTCTGTATAAGTTGATCTGCCCATTTGAGGACAATGTTGCTGCACAGTGCAAGGGCAAGGTGACAGTGTCTCTTTAAATGGTCAAGAGATAAAGTAGAACTGTAGGCAAAACTTTTTTTTTTTTCTTTTCTTTTTTGGATAGAGTTAGAGAGGGATATACCCCATGTCAGTTTTTTTTTTTTTTTTGCGCCATCTGTATCCCATTGCTGAGATTTCCCTTCACTTGCTGTCCCATAGCCAAACCGTAAGTGAGAGGAAATCCCTGCAAATTCAAGGAATTCCTTGGGACCCCCAGGTCATCAGAACTTGTGGGATTTTCTTTTATGTTCACTTTCAATGATAATGGTCAATAGGACAAAAAAAACTGGATAAATGTCCTTAACAGTTGCACAGCAACAAAAATGACAAACGTTTGAATCCACCTCTGCTCTGTCCAAAGCTAAAAAAAAAATGTTGCCTTTAGTTATACTTTAATAAAATTTATATTTTTAGCTATACGTGCAGCCTGGTTGACTGAGTCAGCTCCTGGTTTCTTCGATGTCTAGAACTTGAACTGGGAAGAGTTTCTTGCAGTTATCTTTGTCCTTATCCACCTGGCAGTTTTGGGTGTTCCTGCCCACCTAAAACAAATGAATAAAATCCAGAAGGGAGAGAGAGGAACTCCTTACAATGGCTAAACCAAGTGTGCAGACCTGGAAACTGGGAGTCCCCTAAGGAGATAAGAAAATGTCAGGTGGGATAAAGTGGATGTTAACCTCAGACATGAAATATGAACAAAGCATATCCCTCTATAGTGTAAACTTGTCTCAATTAACAGTAAGTGTCATTTCTATCTACTGCTTTGTTCCTCTGCTGTCAGCAGGAATCACTTCTGACAAAATTTCCTGACACCAAGAGAAAATTATGACGGGCAGGACCTTCAGCAGTTTGACAGCCTCCACTCTCTTCCTGTGTGACAGCCTCCACTCTCTTCTTGTGTGCTGTATGGAGAGGGGTTTGTCTCTTTCCTCCAATCCGCTCTCAGAACTCACCTTACTGAGCTCTGCAGAGTGTAACTTCAGCTCTCTGTCCCCTTTTTTCTGAACTCTCTGGCAAGCTTTATAATTCAGCACTTTGGATGGCTATAGAGCAGAGATGGCTGCATATAAACAGGTGCAACCTATATAAGACGATTTGTTTCATCACTGTGTATCACATGAGGCCCATCACTTCACTGGGCATATGGAAGGGTTTACAACCACTTAAACTGCAGTACGGAAAAGTGAGGTTACTGGCCTTGCTATGTTGTCTGAAAGGGTTCCTGGATCTCAAGACTATCAGAACAGAAGTATTATTATTATTATTCAGTATTTATATAGCGCTAAAAGGTTTGCTCAGCGCTGTACATCATAGTGGGGGACAGTACATGAGACAATGAGACAATACAGTAACAAAACTATACGCGAGGGGTTCGAGGGCCCTACTCTTTCTAGCTTACAATCTAGGAGGGAGGGGATAGTGGTACAGGAGGAAGTGGCTGTGGGGGATGGAGTGGTAGGAGGAGTGGAGGAGATCGGCTGTTAGGTGACGGCGGGGTAGGCTTCCCTGAAGAGATGGGTTTTCAGGGTGCGCCTAAAGGTGAGGAGGGTAGGTGACACTCTGATGGATTGGGGTGGTGAGTTCCAGAGGATGGGGGAAGTCCTGGAGAAGTCCTGCAGTCGGGTGTGGGAGGTGGAGACAAGGGAGCTAGAAAGTAGGAGGTCTTGTGAGGAGCGAAGATTACGAGTAGGGTGGTATTTGTGTATCAGGTCGGTGAGGTAGTTTGGGGCAGCATTGTGAATGGCTTTGTATGTCTGTATTAGTAGTTTGAATTTATTGTGTTGGGCAATCGGGAGCCAGTGGGGGGGAATGACAGGGGGGTGGCAGAAGAGGAGTGGTTGGTAAGGTGGATGAGTCTGGCCGCTGAGCTCAGGATAGACTGAAGTGGGGATAGCCTGCGATGAGGTAGGCCGGTGAGAAGGGAGTTGCCGTAGTCCAGACGTGAGATAATAAGGGAGTGAACGAGTTGTTTAGTAGTGTCTGGGGTTAGGAACGTACGTATTTTGGAGATGTTGCGGAGGTGGAGCTTGCATGAGTTTGCCAACGATTGGAAATGGGGTTGGAAGGACAGGTTTGAGTCTAGAGTGACACCTAGGACTTTGGCTTGCGGGGTGGGAGTGATGGTGGCGTTGTTGGTCATGATGGAGAGGGTGGGGGGGGGGGGGGGGCACACGCTGGGGGGAAAATCAGGAGCTCGATTTTGGAAAGGTTCGATTTGAGGAAATGGAGCGACATCCAGTCTGATATGTCGTTCAGTAGGTGGGTGATACAGGCGGAGACTGAAGGGGTGAGGCGAGGGGTGGAGAGGTAAATTTGCGTGTAATCGGCATAGAGATGGTAGTTGAAGCCGTGGGAGTGTATCAGTTTGCCGAGGGAGAAGGTGTAAAAGGAGTAGAGAAGGGGCCTGAGGACAGAGCCTTGGGAGACCCCAACAGAGAGGGGGAGGTGGTAGCGTTATAGGTAATGCTGAAGGAGCATTGGGATAGATAGGAGGAGAGCCAGGAGAGAGTGGAGTCTCTGATGCCGAGGGAGTGTAGTTTATTGAGGAGGGGGTGGTCAACTGTGTCGAAGGCCGCGGAAAGGTCGAGGAGTAAGAGGACTGAGTAGTGGCCATTAGCTTTGGCAGTTAGCAGGTCATTAGTGATTTTGAGTAGGGCGGTTTCGGTGGAGTGTAGGGGAAGGAAGCCAGACTGTAGTGGATCGAGGAGGTTGTTGTCAAGTACAAGCATTTTGCTGGAAATATATACACATGTGTATTTCAATTATTTACTTGACTGCCTGAAATGCTGTTTTCAATGTATTTTATTATTATAAACCTTTGGCAGTTAGTCAAATGCACCTGAAAACACAAATAATGTATTTGCCCTGCATTTGATATTTCAAATGGAGGACTCTGGACTCTAGGCCCAGCCTGTAAAAAGGGCCTAGATGTCAGCCCCGGGTGTACTAACCCTGATCCTCTGTCATTTTAATTGTCAAATACAAGAGCATTTTTGGTAAGGGTTTACAACCAATTTAAGCCTCCAATATCCAACTAAAACATCTCTAAATGGATGGTCTGCATTGAGCGAACATTGTTTTGGCCACTGTGCACTGTGATTGTTAAATATTGCAGTTTTAATATTTGGTCATGGGGTACCAGGTGACGGAATCCCTGACAATAATTGGGGGGTGGGGGGGGGGGTTTCTTGGAAAGTCTTGTTGTGTAGTCTGTGGGGTCTACTAACATTCTATGGCGCTCTTGCTTGTTTCTTGTAATTGTTGATGTGCAGCTTGTGCAAATGTTTAATGACAAAACATGTATTTTGGGATCTCCTACGTGGCACCAGTTTTAAAAGCCTTCACGTCTGTAAAGAACCTACATGTGCACTTGATAGAAGTTGTTTATTTCCATATATACGCTCACACGGCCACTTTATTAGGTACACCTTGCTTGTGCCAAGAAAATATCCCCCCCCCCCCCCCACCCATTACACCATCACCAGCCTGAACCGTTGATCCCAGAAATGGTATTCTGCATACCTTTGTTGTAATGAGCGGTTATTTAAATGACTGTTGTCTTTCTATCATCTCAAACCAGTCTACACATTCTCCTCTGACATCAACAAGGCATTTTTGTCCACACAACTGCCACTCACTGGATATTTTCTCCTTTTCAGACCATTCTCTGTAAAACCCTAGAGATGGTTGTGCGTGAAAATCCCAGTAGATCAGCAGTTTTTCAAATACTCAGACCAGCCCATCTGGCACCAACAACCATGCAACGTCAATGTCACTTAAATCCCCTTTCTTCCCCGTTCTGATGCTCGGTTTGAACTTCCAGTTGTCTTTACCATGTCTAAATGGTTCCATGCGATTGGCTGCTTAGCAATTTATTTTACCAAGCAATTGAACAGGTGTACCTAATAAAGTGACCGGTGAGTGTATATGGCCCAGTGAGCTCCACTTGCTTCCCAGTCCTATGCCGAGTGACGGCCCTGCTGAATACTGAACACATGAGGTTGACCGGTCAGAACCAGCACCGTTCTTTGCATTTTCTGAATGAATGTAAAGTGTTCTGTGTCTGGACGAGCTGGAGAGTCAGGGTGGTGATGTCACGCTCTCCACTTCATCCAATCAAAGAATGCTTTGCAGTCATTCAGAAGATGCAAAGCATTACCTGAATGGCACTGGTTCCGAACGGTCGACTTCCTATGTTCAGTATACAGCAGGGCAGCTGCTCGGCATATGAGCCAGAAGCGTGTAGAGATCACTGAAGCAGCAGGGTCTATTGCAGTGATTTGCAGCTCCAGGTATGGAATAAGTTAGTTTGTTCCAAGCTGGATGTAACTACGTATAAAATATCCATACCTGGAATTCTTCACGTTGTATAGTTCACCTTTACTGTCCTGCAACTAGTAGACAGCTCAACGTCTACCTGACGTACCTCATGTGATTGTATTGTTTTCTGACAGATTCCTGCACTCCATGTGTATGGTAATATTGATCTTATATCCTATATTTTTTTCCTTTTCCAGAGGTCGGACCCGCAGCTTCTCGCCCAATTCTACTATGCAGATGAAGAGCTGAACCAGGTGGCTGCAGAACTGGACAGCCTGGATGGGCGGAAGGACCCTCAGAGGTGTACACTGCTTGTTAACCAATTCCGCTCCTGCCAGGTGAGGTCACACTTCAGTAATGACTTGTTAAGGATGGGTGTCCTGGGTTTTCACTACAAGAAAAAGCAAGTTCAGCATTCTGTTAAAAGCCCAGCCCATGGTTATTTCCATTCACCATTATTTTATTTATTTCAGGTACTTATATAGCGCCATCAATTTACGCAGCGCTTTATATATATATATATATATATATATATATATATATATATATATATATTGTACATTCACATCAGTCCCTAACCCTCAAGGGGTGTACAATCTAAGGTCCCTAAATTACATTCATACATACACATACTAGGGCTAATTTAGATAGGAGCCAATTAACCTACCAACATGTCTTTGGAGTGTTGGAGGAAACCGGAGTACCTGGAGGAAACCCACGCAGGCACAGGGAGAACATGCAAACTCCAGGCAGGTGGTGCCGTGGTTGGGGTTCGAACCAATGACCCTAGTACTGCCAGGTGGAAGTGATAACCATTTAGCCACTGTGCTGCCCATACTCCTCTGCAACTATGTTGGAGCCCTCAGATATACCCCATGCTTCTGGGTATGGATGTATGAGCTTCTCCATATTTCCTGCAATAGAAAAAGTGACGGGTTTAGAAAGTGTATTTTAGATGTGCGTCACTGGTATCTGTTTAAAAAAGAAAAAATGCCATATTATATTTTTATGGTTCTCCTGCATTTTCTATTTAGAGCAAATCTCTTTCCAAAATGTGTTCTCATATGGGTTAGAACTTTTTTTTTTTGCTTTGTCTCTGTTGAGATTTCCCTTCCTACCGTTCTCCTGCACAGTAAGGCTAGGTTCACAGTAATCCGCGGAGTAAAACGCAGCATTGTGCCATGCAGGCAGCTGTTAGTGTGAGCTCCAGCAGGCAGCAGTGCGATGTGCATTTACTATTTTTCTTTTAACTTTATTTGAAGTGTCACGTGACAATAACAATTCAGTATTGTCTCCGCACAACTGCAGTGTGGTGACATGCATTGCCATCCAGTGTGCGGCACTGCATATTACACCAGCTTGGCAGTGTTAACAGGGCACTCAAAAACTGGTTGTTTCTCCTCGTGGGGACCTGCATTATTCCACTGCAGAAAACACAGGTCACTGCATATAGCGTGAACAAGCCCTAAGTGACACAGAATTTCTGAGCTTTGCCAGTGGGTAATGTTACGTAGGTTTGACAGCCTTGGTTTTAGACCTGATTCCTAACTTTTATTTAGTGTTACTAAACCCCGGACCCTGCATTCACTATATACGGTCTCCCACAGTACACACAACATGGAAACGCAATTATTTTAGTAAATATATGTAAGTATCAGGTGCAGCACTAGAACATATTATGCAGCATATAAAGCAATAAGACTTATAAAATCCAAAATACTGTGAAAAGTCATATGTCACCTAGTGGTGAACAAAGTGGATATAATGTGAATAAAATGTCCCAATTGAACACAGCCCACGTGAGGATCTGATATGATCCTAATGATGTTGCGTGGAGAAGTAATCCGGGGTGGCAGATGATAAATAAATAAATTGCGCACTCACCAGAAGTGTGTATATACACGCATATGAGATTAGCCTGTCTCATCAGGTATAACACAGATCATCTGCTTCCAAATAGGGTCAGGATCTTATACACCTTCTGGTCACGTCTGGATACGGTGCTCAGATAACCTTGATGCGCATCACCGTCAGGGGTCCCTGTAAAGGCAGATTCTGCGAATGGAGGCTCACAATAATAAAGAGAGCCCAATAAGGACCACATAGTGTGATATTGTAGAAGACTTTATTTCATCAAGACATGTGCAAGACAAATCAAGAATAAAAGAAAAGAGACACTGACCATATAAAATTCAGGATGGCCACCAGCGGTGGCTAGACGTCCAGTAACTGTAGTAAATATAAACTGCTTATTACCTTTTCTCATCAGCATTTGGAGCAGTCTTGTGACTTCTGTCAGTGTCCAGCAGAGCACTGATTAAAGCTTGTAGAAGGAGTTTTCATGCTCTTCTGATTGTCCTATGAGGCTGCATAATCCCTGACCCTCTGTCGAGACAGTGCTGATTGGCCCTGTGCTGATCAGATGCACTTTCCCAAGAAAAAAAAACAAAAAACACTTTAGCAATACACACCAAACTGAGCATGTGCAGCTCGTCCTCAAGTCTCTGATCAATCAAGAGATGGATTGGGGACAGTAGAAGGGGAGGATCAGAGTAGACAGAATCAAACATCCTTCTTACACAGTGCAGAGGATTAACCCCTTAGGTTCCTCAGTGAGTATAACATGCATGCTTTACTGCATATACAGACTGATTTTACTGTTGTGGGTTTAGTAACACTTTAAAAGAGAACTATGGGATATTTTTTTTTTTTTAAATCATACTTACCTAGATGGATGCAGGATTGGCCTGATGCTACATATGTCCCCTGTCTGCTCTAAATTTGAGAAGCCGTTGTGAGCAGAGAGCGGTTACGGTCAGTCATTGCTGTCTGCTCTGAAGCCCCCTCCTCCCATGCTCACTGGAGTGCTGGGTTGTGGAGTGGGAGGGAGCGGCTGGCTCAGGCTCTCAGCAGATCACTGATCCAGATTCTGGGGTGGATCCCAACTTTAAAGTTGGGATCTTTCCCCAGCATGGACCGCCTGAGTGATGTCAGCCGACAGCGGGCTTCAGCCCACTGTCAGCTGAAAAGGGATCACAGGAGTGCAGAATGAACTGCACTCCTGTGATCCACAGGAGAAGTACAGCCAGCCAAAAGAGCTTTGGCTGTACTTCTCCTTTTTAAAGCAGTATTAAACCAAAAATGTAATATATTGCAGCTTACCAATCATTAGATGTTGTGGCTGTATATGTACATGGGTTAAAGGTTTACATGAATAAATAAAAGCTGATTATTGTAAGCACCTCTGTCAGTGGCAAATGTTTTGTTTTAAAATTCTTAACTGATACATCTGTAGGACAGCTTGTTCTCTTGAAAATCAGGTTGTAGATCACCAAGTGAAAATAAAAGAAAAAAAGCCTTAATAAAAAGTAATACAGCCATCATTTCTAAGAGTTGGTAAGCTGTAATATTAATAAATGTTTGCTTTGGGTTTAGTACCACTGTTATTGATTTATTTATTTGTAACATTTACAACTTTTCAAGTTCAGCTAAAAAGAGTACCTGGCAGAATTTTTCTTCAAACGATCATTTATATGAGGAAATGGGCACAAGAACTTTTGATCTTGGTGCCCAAGTGTCTCTGGGGTTATTTTCCAGCCAGCAATCCAACTTTCTTCCAGCAGAGGGGGCCCTCTTTGAAAGTGTTGTCTTTTGACATGTGATGTTTGCTGCTGCTGCTTGAATGCAGTCAGCCTCATTCATCATGATATACTGCAGGACAAAGCACATTCTTTTTTCATCCTAGCATTTGGGAACACTGTGGATGTTATGAGTGCCTCTTTTTTAAAAGGCCTAATTGGGCACATTTTGTGTTTTTTGGAGTAGTAAGAAGCTCATCTGGAGACCGATGACATGTTTGCAGGGGATCTGAGATATTCTGGTCCTTGCAAAATAAAGTGTGTGCTTAGCCAGCCAGCGGGGGCTATTTACTAAAATTTTCCTTGTGCAAAATCGGGTGCAGCTCTACATAGAAACCAATCCGCTTCCAGGTTTTATTGCCAAAGCTTAATGGAACAACCATGGCTCCCTCCTATAGATGCAATGGAGGAGTGAGAGTAGCCACCTTAGGACAGGAAGTTGGAGATGTACTAAAACTGGTGCACACAGAATCTGTTTCAGCTGTGCATACTAACCAGTCAGCTTGTAAGTTTTATTGTCAAAGTTTAACTCCTGGTTCACATATATGCGGCCCGTGCAGGTAGTGTTTTGCGCGGGCGTGAGAGCCCATTCATTTGAATGGACTCCCGTGCCCCGTGACACACAGGGAAGAAGTCCCTGCACTTCTTTGGAAACCGCAATCCGCACGGGAACTCCCAGTGTGGTTGCGTTTTCCAGTGTGGGTGGCGTGCCATTAGAAGTAATGGCACCCACCCGCGAATCCGCATTCCTCTGTGTGGGTGGTGCGGCTGCACAGATTTTCGTGCAGATCTGCAGCGGCACCACCCGCATATATGTGAACCAAGCCTAATTGAACGAGCGGAAGTTAGAAGCTGATTGGCTACCATGTACAGCTGCACCACATTCTGAGCGCTCCAGTTTTAGTAAATATCCCCCAGTATATTGATGCGTTCCTATAGAACAGCCAATGTCCACTTTATAAGGCTTAGTCAATATGAACAACTCTCACATCTGCAGGGAGGCGTAAGAGGGGAGCTGGAAGTTTGTGCGTTTTTTTTTTTGGTTTCTTTTTTTTTTTTTTTTTTAACCAGCCCTGCAATTTTTAAAATCTCATTATATAAAATTTCATTGAAAATAATTTACCCTTGGAGGTTACAAAAGACAACACTAAATGCAAATTAAGTTAGCCAGATGCCAAAGAACTCCCCGGAGCTTTATTACGAAGCTAATTAAAGCCTATAGATGTAAGTATTGCTTGTCTTGTGTTCCTAGTTAAATGTGTGCGCTGCCAAAAGAATACAGGCCGATAACGTGATAAAGCGATGTTTGGGAACGCGACGTGTAAACCGTAAAAAGAACAGTTTAGTTCCTGCAGAGTGAGATGTGTTTTCATCATTAACCCCCCGCCTGATCTGCAGAGAAAGACGCAGTACATCAACCAAACGCTGACACCGGATAGAGAATCGTGCACGGCGTCTGAGTTCTTTGATTGTAGCCGCGTCAGTCAGGCATATGACCGCAGCCAATAGCCAGATTTTTGAATCAAAATAAGAGCGAAGAGGGAATTTACAAAAACAGATGCAGAATGATAGTCATCATCATTTCATTATCTAGTGCCATCTTTTTTTTTTTTGTAAGGGTTTACTATAAATATGCATGATTTAATGCTGAACTCCAGGCAGCTTTATGCCAGTAATGTATTCATTTAAAAAAATGTGTT